TGCCAAGGCACACACACACACACACACACACACACACACACATACAAACACAGGTGCTGCTCTCATGCAATAGCCTCTCTGGATCCTCTGCTGTATGAGTTGAAGTTCGTGGGGCATGACTCTTGAGACTCGGGGGCTGAAGTGCTTCAGGTGCACATTTAATAAGAAACATCTAGGAAAACCATATGAAGTGATTGCTCGAGGGATGCATGATGACAGAATTGTTAACTATTTTTTACAATAAACAATACATTCAGTTAATGATAATGATCTGCTTAGAAGACACACCTAGCTTCACTGTAGTTTCTGCCAGTCTTCTGCGATTGAAGATAGAGCTTCTGTGAACATGAAGACCTTACACACACATCCCTTTAAAGAGAAAGTGAGTTAGTCTTGTCATATAAGGAAGTGAATCATCAAAGTGTTGTCACTTCTAGCATTATTAAAATAAAAAATGGTTTCATTTAAGGAGCATGTCCGTTTCATCATGATCTACAAGTTCTTGAGAAACTCAAGGCATCATTCTAACGTGGTTTGAAAAACAATTTGGTAATTTCAGCAGAGACATTATCACTCACACACCCCGGAGGAAGAATTCTTCTTTTTGTGTACATCCTTCTGCAGTGTGCTCAGCGACACAGCATGGATGTTTTGTTGTCTCTACTAATTAGCAGTGCTAGCAACACTCCCAATAGTATGTCTAAAATGACAGAGAAAAAAGGTGTCTCATATTCATGCTGCCTTGGTGTCTTCCTGCAGGAACACAAACCTGTCCCTGATGGATCCCACTGGAGCCCTGGTGTCCATCGACCCCACCATGCCACACAACACAGAGAGGTACACCCTGTCCCTCTGAGCTCTTTGTTGATTCATCGATTGTCTGATAAAACATCTGTTCAGTCCACCGGCTGGCTGCGAAGTCAAAGACACATTCGCGGATTGGCTGTAAATCCCAGTGTCCCCTGCTCCTCCTACTTTGCTGTTTACATACGCTCCTTAAACTACCATGATAAGTGAAGTGTACAGTAAGTTTGCAATAGAAGCAACTCAAGTGTCACTTTCCTGAAGCCTTTTAATTAAAGAGTAATCTGTATTCCATATCAGAGCAAAAAGTCCTCATCAGAATATAAAACAATTAATTGTTTTAAGGTTTTTATTCACCTACAAATATATAGTGATTATGGAAAGTGACATATATTTGTTTTCAGGCAGTTCTCCATTTGGTCCATCTTTTCCCGTCATTTTCCTGTGGTGGAGGTGCAGATTCTGAAGTAGAAAGAAAGAATCAGAAGGCAGAAATAAGGTATTAATTCCCCCGAGGGAAATTCAGGTTTCACTCTGTTGTTAATATTCAGTGAAACTTCAAATACACACATGAACAAACATTTGCATTGATGGAGGAGTGTCACAGTGAAGGGGCTGTCATTTTTGGGGCTCTGATGCACTTGGGATTTTGGTGCCTTGCCAGTCCACACCACATACTGTATGTATTTTATTTTTCTGGTCCATGTGGGGACTTGAACCAGTGACAATCAGGTGACCATCATCAGGTTCCCAAAACCAAGTGCCTGCCCCATGAGATTGTTCCTTCTGATTACTTTCTGTGAGGGATGGGAATATGACAGTTAATGTCACCAAAATCTAGATCTTTGGCATCAATTCGACATGCCGTGTTTGGAGGAGAAGATGCTGACTATAACCCCAGAACACCATCCCCACCATCAGGCATGGAGGAAACATCATGCTTTGGGGGTGTTTCTCTGCTAAGGGGACAGGACCACTTCCCTGCATCGAGGAGAGGATGTACGGGGCCACGCACCGTCAAGTCTTGGCCCATAGCCTCCTTCCCTCAGCCAGGACACTGAAAATGGGTCATGGAGGGGTCTTCCAGCAGGATAATGACCCTTAACATATGGCCAAGGCAACACAGGGGTGTCTAAAAAAGAAGCACATTCAGGTGAGGGAGGGGCCTAGCCAGTCTCTGGACCTTAATCCCATAGAACATCTGTGGAGGGAGCTGAAGCTTCCAGATGCCAAGCATCAGCCTCAAAACCTGAAGGATTTGGAGAGGATCTTCAGAGAGGAGTGGACCAACATCCTTCCTGAGATGTGCACAAACCTGGAGACCAGCTACAAGAAGCGTCTGACCTCTCTGTGTCCATCAAGGGTTTCTCCACCAAGTACTAACACATGTTCTGCAAGGGGATCAAATACTTCTTTCCCACAGTTAAATGAAAATACATTTTTATCTTTTATATAATGTCAATTTCTGGATTTTCTATTTCATATTCTTACTCTCACTGTTAGAGTAAACCTAACATATTTTGTAAGTTCACCAATTTACAAAGAAATGAACAGTCTATCATTTATTTGTAAATTGGTGAACTTACAAAATATGCAAGGGATCAAATACTTATTTCCTGTGCGTGCTGTTAAAATAAGACTTACTTTTATTAATTCCCGGGGGAAATTCAGTTCTTCATTCATATACATGACACAGGTCGCAATGCACTCATGAACGCATGCACTAACAGGACCTGTTGCTGGAGAGGTGCCAGATTCAAGAGGCTGACAGTCCCGAGGGAGCAGTTGGGGGAGCAATGCCTTGCTCAAGGGCACCTCGGCAGCGCCCAGTAGGTGAGCTGGCACCTATCCAGCGACCAGTCTACACTCTGTATTTTTGGCCCAATCAGGACTTTGACCGGAGACCCTTCGGTTCTTTAGTCAAGTCCCTACAGAATGAGCTACCGCCACCTCATTAAGCCCCTAAATGTAAACTTAAAACAGTTGCTGCAGCAAGCAGCTGAGCATACGTGTATGCAAATAGGTGATGTACAAACTTGGAAATGGGAAATTAAATTATCTTGATCCCCACATTTTTCCATCACCATCAAAGTTCTGTCAAAGCACTTTAGGTTGTTGCAACTAAAACCAACCACAGCATAGCATTCCCTTTCAAGTCATTTTTTAAACACCATCTTAACAAAGTGCACATGTTTCATGGTTTATTGAATTTTCCACAGCTGCTGCTTGGTAATTCTCAATGACCTTCAGAGAGGCTACTTTGATCCGAGCCTGACTTTGAGCAGAATGAAAGACAGACCAAGCCGTCAGTGAAGTAGAATGGCCTCAGTATTAATGATGAGAACTGCCCGGGTCTAAAACACTTCTAAGGGTAGACTCTCACAGACACACACACACGCACACACACACACACACACACACACACACACACACACACACACACACACACACACACACACACACACACACACACACACACACACACACACACTGTGTGTGTGTGTGTGTGTGCTTATCTTATCTTGGGTTAAATTCTGAAGCGTTTTATTTGACAAACATCATCTGAGATTGGGTAATCTTCCTTTTAAACAGTGTGTGTGTGTGTGTGTGTGTGTGTGTGTGTGTGTGTGTGTGTGTGTGTGTGTGTGTGTGTGTGTGTGTGTGTGTGTGTGTGTGTGTGTGTGTGTCTGTTTTCCCCCTTGAATTAGTAAGCAGGAGGAAAAGTACAATGTGTATGCTGAGAGGACGCATTGTCCACTTCTGCTCTCAAAACTAACCTGTGTGTCCTGGTGTGTTGAAGGTCACCGTACCGGGTGGTACCTTTGACTGGAGGACAACTTGCTGGTGAGTCCCAGAGACTACACACACACACACACACACACACACACACACACACACACACACACACACACACACACACACACACACACACACACACACACACACACACACACACAGACACACTCATCAAGCTGTTGATTGCAATTTAGATCAAAAGTATTTAAATCTCTTTAGCATGCATTTGAACCCCTAACTGCAGCGGTATAAATGTTTAAAGGAATTGACCTCATCACAATGTTTCCTAATCCCTTACACAAGCAATGAGATCGAAGCTAAAGTCAGAAGGACTGATCCAGAAACTTTAAAAGGAAACATCTTTTCCTATTCCTATTATCTACCTAGCTATAAATGAATAGCTTACACCTTTAAATGTGGCTATAGCTGTTGTTCAGATGTAAAAATAGTTATCATATCTCAGATATATATCTCTGAAGCTGTGCTCACTCGCAGAGGTTGTGACAGATGTGGAAAAGGCCTTGACATAACAAGCACACGGTTCAGTGTGTTTATTCTCCTCTTCTGTTTCTTTAAAGTGTTAAAAATGAGAAGTTGCCAAATTAAGTTATAAAGTAATAGGTCACTTTAGAAGGCTAAGAAAATGTTTATGATTTTAACATCCACCTCAAATAATGATGAATCCTCCTCTTAGCCAGTAATACTCAGTCCCACTCAAACAGCTGTTATTTCAAACAGCTGCAAACAGAACCATGCCATGTGATGTGTGAGATAAGTCCGCTGAAGCAGCTTCATTAATCACAGAGAGGAATTCTCAGTCCTCACTGACCTGTGACCTGCTGTGAAACAGGGAATGTGAATGACACAATGTACAAACTACTACTCACCAACAATAGCTGTTTTCTTTTTACAATTTCTCGTAGCTGTTAGTTTATTGGCTGTGGTGTTGGACTTTGCCCACAACAGTGGAGCTTTTAGCCAATGGCAGGGCTGTGTTAGTGAGTCCAGCCTGTTGCCAGTGAGTGGGAAGAGGGATCAGAAGTGCTTGTTAAAACATCAAGCTGTCAGCCATTCTGCAGACGCTCTGCTGCTCACGGTGAGACCAGAGGGACATTTCTCCTTCTCTTCTCACTCTACTGGCTCTGCCATCTGTTGCTCAGGACATCTGATGCCCCCGGATTAGTTTACATCAGCCCTGCATGTATTCTATAGTATTTATTATGAAATATTCTGCCTCAGTGGACTCAAGCTGTTTACACTGGACTCCAACAGGCTGTTGACTGTGTGTGTGTGTGTGTGTGTGTGTGTGTGTGTGTGTGTGTGTGTGTGTGTGTGTGTGTGTGTGTGTGTGTGTGTGTGTGTGTGTGTGTGTGTGTGTGTGTGTGTGAGTGTGTGTGTGTGTGTGTGTGTGTGTGTGTGTGTGTGTGTGTGTGTGTGTGTGTGCTCTCTCTTCAGATAAAGAGGAACTCTTTCAGAATGTACTGACGCAGGTGGCAGAACAGTTCTCAAGGTAAGCAGCATCAAATCTTCACCGTTAACTCATTCATATTGCAGCAAATGTTTGAGTTATTACTTATTCATACTTTCTATGTTTTTGTATCAATAACTGTGAACAATTTGTTTAGTTTTATTACTCTCTATCGTGTCTTCCTTTCAGTTTGTTCTAGCGTACTGTTAAGAGAAAACCTCCTTTCGAAGCTTGATGAAAATGTATTTCCTGGTCTCAAGAGACAGAGGACTCTTACAGAGGGTTTGCACCAGCAGCAGCAGCACCGTGTGAACGCCTGTGTGTGTGATCAGTGCTGGGAACCTCTCTTCTTCAGCTCTCCGCTAATGCTTTTTGGCTGCTTTTCTTTAAACCTGCATCATAGACAGGATGTGTTTCTGTGTGTGTTTCACGTTGGCCTGTGGTTGCTAATTGTGTGTCACAGCCAGAGATCTATTTGCATTCTTGGATTATCAATTAGCAGATATGATAGAAGTTGCCTTATTTGTTATGACGTAGTGATTCTTCAGTACTTAGCTGGGATGGCACTGTTAGAGTTGTTCCATGAAGAATGAGAGAGCGACTGTAACGCTTCAGAAATGATTTCCATGAGTGACTTGTAAACTGATTATTTGAGATTTCAAAATATAATTTAGTCTGACAAATGAAATCCTGTTGATTCAGAAATATGTTGATTTTCAGCTGTCTAATGGTTATGCAATATGATGGTCTACAATGGAGCACTACAGGGATATATATATATCGATATCTATATCTTATATTATTGATTAAATCAACTTTGATTGAGGTATATATGTTTGTATACAAATAAAAAATAATATTTGTTGTTCAAATGTTTTTTTCCCTCCCTCTCCATCTGTCTGCAGGGCATTCAAGATCAACGAGCTGAAGACCGAGGTCACCAACCGTCTGGCCATGCTGGAGAAAAGAGTGGAACGTAAGTCCCCCCCCCCATTCTCAGGTTTACACCTTTTTCATAAGCTGTTTTGCTCACCAACAAATAAAAAAATATAAAGGGGCTTTTGAATATTTTATTGAATCAATTATTCCCCATCTTAACTGAACTAGCTCCTACCCTGGTGGAGGACATGGTGTGAAAGCTAAAGCTAACAGTGCTAATCATTTGTATTTGATCTATGTGCATTTCGTGCAGTGTGGTTGAAATATGCGAGTGACAAAGAAGTACAGTAAGTCCCTTATACTGTAGACAACACTCTATTATAATCCAGTTGAAAGTCCACTTTGGAAACTTTCATATAGTTTAAAGTCCAGTCTGCAGCAGGAGAGTGCAGGCTTTGTTTGCTCTCATACATGTCAGCTTTATGGGAATACCCCATTATCTTTCTACTATTTCACATTGAAGATGCACTTACGCTTAGCTCTCAGAGACTGTTAGACATGCAACGTACGGTATGTATCAGCAACATTCAGGCACCAAACCTATTCTTGGCAAAAGATTGTACTGAATTTCTCTTTGCAAATTAGGCTTTGTGTGAGCTTATGTTTAACTTTTGAGCTGCTTGTCCCTGTGCTATGCTTCTGTCAGGACACAGCTGTGGATGTGTTTTCTACACTATGATGCATGTCAAACTCTTCAGAAAAGCATGGTGTTTTGTGTCCAACCTGAGGGCCGTGCTACCAGCTCTTAGTTTACTGTTTTAGCAGACCAACATTTGGTAAATAGCACTAAAAAAACAAGACAATTAAGTCTGACTGGAATGTCATTGGTTTTGTAGGTAATTGGTGTTAAACCAAAGGAAGCAGACCTGCAGGTGGTGTTGGAGTCAGAGAGATGTTCGTACAACATGTTTGTGGAATCCATCCAGCATGGTTGAGATATTTCACTCTGAACCATCTAACCGACCCAACACATGAAAAGATCAAATTATATAGTTTCTGTCTATAAGCCGTTCTTAAGGGAGATTAAATAGTGTGTCTTGTCAAAAGAAACATTTTGTCATATGCTACTTGACTTTCTGGACTTCACTTTAGCTAGCTTTGAAAGTATTATTAGTACAGTGGTTCTATCTAGAGTGATTTGTGTGCAGTGTGAGATAACTGCATGCCTTCAGTGCATGTTGTCTGAACTTGTGTCCCTCCACACTTTATGATGCTGCGATTAGATAAGTGGACGATACATGTTATGTTGTCTGCTAAAACATCTCAAGAGGCTGTTGACCAGCTGCAATTATTAGCATCTAATGAACATTGACCACTTGGACTGACAGAGGGCAAAGTAAGGTGTCCTCTTCATACTTAAACAACATCATGGTCAGGCCATTTCTCCTCAGCTGACCTTTATCACTTTCCAGGTTTTGGTGTGTTATTAACAGTAAGGAGGAAGTGTGCTGTGCTCACTATGCTGCAGCAGCTTACATAGTTGTTACCTGCATGCCTGTTGGCATCTTTGCACTGGGTATAATGTAAATGTCTCAATTCTCTAAAGATAAAAGTCAGCAATAAAATAGGATCAATAAAGTTTCCCTACCATCATATTTTTTTATAATATCAGTCTGTGTTCTCAATAGGTCAGCTGCTAGAGTAATTACCTACAGGAACATTTAATCAGTTATCGTTTATGCAATCATTACTTCCTTCCTAGTAAGGCTGTGATTAAAGGTAAAGGTGAGGCAGAATATGTCAGTTGTTCATTGAGATAACAGTTAAGTCAGCCACCAGACTCAGATTGTTGCAAGTGATCCCCCCTGGCTGAGCTGTGGATCTGTCCTCCATAAACGCACATTGCTAATTGCTTTGGTACTTCAGCTCTCCTGCAGCAAATGTGTGTATTGCACTGCCGAGCTGAATGACTTTGCACACACAGTTTTGATTTGATAATATAAAGATGTGTGCATAACACCTAGAGTCGGTTCCATTGTAGACTTTTTGATGGCACTATAGCAGATTAATTTACACAGTCATACGTAGAATCAAATAATCATAAATCATAAAAATAATAATTTTTTCATAGTGACTTATACCCTTTACATATGTTTAAATGATTATATAAAACAATAATGATACCATTGATTGATTTATTACATAATTAAAAGCAGTTCTGAACAGAAATATAGTTATTTAATTTATACGTTAAAACATATAATATCTAGGAAATGGTTCTCTGAGTGGTATTTTTCTGCAACCAAAACCAGGAAGTGCGGCGGCGTTGAAAAAAAGGCCCAACGGTGGGACTACAATTTGTGTCATTCTGTGACATCATTATGGCCTTTGGGAAAGAGAAATTTGAAAGTAAGGGTAATACTAACTAAATCAACTTCCCAGTACAAACACTTTTATAGCCCTTATATAAATCATTAGGGTCTAAGAGTTGTAAAATGCTCTAATAACTGAATCCAGAGTTAGTTTCTCTTTTCATTAATCTGACCACTCTGAAATTGGCCCTGACGCTGCGAATTTGAGGCGGGACTTAAGCAAAATGCAAGTGTGCACTCTCTATGGGCCCAGATACAGGTTCTGTTGCGCTCGAGAGTCAGACCATTTTGGCCTCATGGTTCACTGAGAAGTTACTAGAATTACTAGATTCTCCCTTTGACAGACAAGAGGGACTTCAGCCGCAGGTTTATATTTACATAACATTTGCGCGACTTGCGCATCCTCATGCATTGCATAAACATGGCTGAGTCAACAGCGATAACTTTCGAGGGGTGGAGGTATGCCCATTATTTTGAGTTTGTCCGAAGAAAGGACAGGAATGTGACGGTGAGGTACAAACTGTGTCCAGGCCAGAAGCTGTTATCCACTGCTGCAAACACAACGTCAAACCTCAATAAGCACCTGCAAAGACAACATGCTAACATGAAGCTAATAGCTAAGGAGGACCTCCGAATCCAGAGTGAGAATGTAGAGTAAAGTAATGAGTAACGGCCCCTACACACGGCGGCGTGCGTTGTCGCTTGCCGGCGGGGGGGTCTGAAACTCGACCAACAATCAATCACATGAATCTCCCGCCCCTGACACACAAGCACGCGGTTTGATTGGCTAGTGCTTGTACTGGCATATGATTCGATTGGCTGACGCCTCCGTCGAGGCGTCAAAAGTAGAACATTGCTCTACTTTTGCAGCGAGCACCGCGAGAGAAGCTACGCTTTGCTCCCACAATGCAGTTCGGCAAATCGTGACATCACCCCATTCAAAGTGAATGGGCAGAAGCGTTGAAGCGGCAACGCACGCCACCGTGTTTTTTTTATAAGTGTGTGGTCGCGTTCTGGTTACTTAGCTCAGCGCTACTGCTTGTTACAACTCGTATTTCCCGTACTCCCCATAAACTGTTATTGCCCCCTTCAACGTAAGTGTTAAGTATTGGTTCTTGGTTCTTGCCGGGCAGCCGAGTGGGGTCAGCTAAGAACCGGTTTTTGGTGCTTAGAGCCGGCTCCGCTGTGGTGGAAACAGGAAGAACCAAAGCTAAATCAGACTCTAGCCCGGAACCGGACCTGGAGCCGGTTTGGTGGAAAAGGGGCATAACCGGTTCCAGAGCTGGCCAGAACCAAGAACCAATACTTCATGCTTACGTGGGGGGCGAAATTAGCCAGAGCAACAACAGTTCATGGCGAGTACGGCAAATAAAAGTTGTAACAAGCAGTAGCGCTGAGCAAAGTGACTAGAACGCAACCACACACTCACTTAATAAAGTCATTCTGTTTATTTTTACCATCCGTTAGCTGTTATATTGATCATTGTGGAAAGCAGGCAGACGTTCTGTTTTGTATTATAGCAGCTATCGGATGGAATCTGTAGGGTTTTTCAACTATGAGCCCAGGATTAGCCGAAAAGAGTCCAGGAAGCCTAATTACAAGTTAACAGCGTTTAATAAAACAATGATACGACGATAAAATGAAATTGCAAACAACGGCGTACAGCTGTGCTCCTTCCTTCCACTGGCATGTGATGAGAAAGAGACCGACCACCTGCTTGGGTCACATATTTATCATCTGAAGTCTTCTCCCATTGGCTTGGCGTCGACAGGGGGCAGGGAGGGGCCAGGTTCTATTGGCCTCTTTGTCTCAAGCCCCGAGGAAGTAGGCCTACTCCGGACTCTGAGGAAAAAATGTGTTGTGACCAAATGGCGGTACAACAATTTCCGTATCAGTCCGCGGCGTCACCCGGCCCAGAAATACTTTTTCCCATTGACTAACATGGGGAAAGAGGCGTCTGTAAATCAGCGGATAATTCTTTTGAAACTAAATAAACTACCCAGTATTAACTATTTTATAGCCCTTATTAGAATCATTAGGTCCTTAAAGTTGTAAAATGCACTAAAAGCCGAATCTAGATTTATTTTCTCTCTCCATTCATTCTAGTGAGCAGAGAGCGGGAGCTCGGGGGGCGGGGCTCAAGGGGCACATGCTCTATGATCGCACATACGGGACTTCTGCTCTGACAGCCAGGCATGACGGGTAATCTGTGACGTTTTGCTCTCGAACTTAATATCGATATTCAAAAATACAGATTCAAAAAGTTGAAGCGTTTGTTCTAACAGTTTGCAGGAGGCAGGTACTTGCAGAGGTGGGGGACTCGAGTCACATGACTTGACTCGAGTCAGACTCGTGTCGCATCTTTTTGGACTTGAGACTTGATTGACTAACATTGATAAAAGACTTGACTTGACTTTGACTTGGTATTCATGACTTGAGACTTGACTTGACTTGAGACAGATGACTCGAAAGGACTTTACTTTTTTAAATGTAATATTTGCATTTGCTTTTGTATTGTACGGAGCCCCTAAAGGGCAATGAAAAAAAAAAGAAGATACTGTGTCTCGTTCGCACGAGAAAGTTAGCGGAGCGCCAAGTAGGATCTGGAATGCACAGGAGACAACCGTTTCATTGCAGACTGTATTGTTTATGTTGGGAAATGGCAGTGCAATGAGTGGATACATTATTTTAGATATATTTTGAACTCGGATACTCATTGACTTCATGAAATC